CTCATTGAGTGGTGCCCTCCTTCAATCACGGAGTATATGGAGGGTGTCAGGATCACTGCTGACAGAAGTAGAGTTTATTCCATAAAATGTGGCGGTTACTTTGTTCACGGTTGTTGCAACCACCACCATCAGATCATTTGCGATCTGATGGCTGGTGAGAGGTTCCCTGTTTCTTTTTTTTTCTTGTGCCTTTCTCTTGTTTTCTCACCCCAGAAATTCGTAATGAACCTCTCAGCCCGCTGCCACTCAGTGTCACACTGGATCGGCCACACTCCTATCGGACTGTTAATGGGACCTTGCCCCGGGAACCTCACAACTCGACCCGTAGTTATCCCGTCAGCTTCAGGCTTGGACCCCACTGGCCAGCGGCCTGGAAAAGTTTTGGCGAGGCGGTGTTTTCCAGACCCCACAGGTGTTGGAAACCGGTGTGTAAAGTCGGCCCGGAAAGGGATTTCCGACCCCACTGCGCTTGGAAAGAGGTCGTGGAAATGCTGACGGGGCGTTTCTACTCGGTTTGCGATCTGGAAATTCAATGCTGACCAGTTTTCATTCCCTTTCCAAGGACGCCCCCATACGAGTAAAGGGGGGGGCACGTCAAAAAGTTTCCAGAAAACGGTTGGACGACGCGAACCACGGACCGTCGTCGTGGACCGTTTTGTGGACCAGTACGCCGATGCGGACATGCTCTTCTTTTTTTCGTGTCGCACTACTACCTTCGACAACCCCTATTCCTCGCCAACCTCTCCACCAGAATCGGCGACTATGGCTTCCCGTCACTGCTCCGTACATGCACTCCCATTCTGGATGGTCCGAGTCGGGGAACACCTGTACCAAGGGCAAGAGTGTGGGCGGGGGGGGGGACACCCGCCGATGTTCCCAAATGGTCATTTCCGTTGTGAGGCCGTTGTGATGCGCCCTGCCGGTCGAGCGGGCCATGTGACGCCGTTGTGATGTGCACGGTACCTGTGCGGCACCCACCACACCTGGTCGCGCACGGCCACATACAGACATGTCCTGGTGCACGCCGATAGAAGGGCTTGGACCACAGCCCCGGGCCTATTTGTAGCGGACTTCTGGTTGGCGTGTGAGACCAGCCCCTTAGCCTGTTCTCACACGTCTGTGTTCTATTCGGGGGAAGTCCAGTCCCGTCCAAGCTGGTACCTCTGTCGGTACCAGCCAGTCCATTCCAGTCCCGTCAGTCTGCTGGGGTATACCGCAGTAGTTGTCTGTTCTCGTCATCATTCTACACTTGCACGATTTTGAAGTACGTGCGTTGGAGTCTTGCGTGGGAGTTGCGCTGTGCCATCTCGCTCCTCCCTCATCCTCCATCTCTATTTGTATCCCAGGCGGAGCACCATCCCAGCGGGTCTGCTACATTGGTATCGGAGCAGGCGTCTCTCCCTGCTCCCCTCCCCCACCCACCCCCTCCATCATTTCTCACGTGGCTTGAGCAAAAAAAACTCGCTACTTCCCTTTGATCATGACACAGGTGCACAGTTTTCATCATAACTTCTGCATCTGGTGTCCAAAAATTTTGATCTTTAACGTGTTAGAAATCTCTCGACGAGACGCTTCCAACGAGCTATAGGTTGACAAATTTTGTTTATTAGTTTTGGAGTTACAATCGTTCAAAGATCGTGTATGTTATTTCACAGCTCCAAAACCGCGCGCACTCGATTGATTTGACGAACGCTATTTATACAAGCCGCGGCTGAAGTCGCGCCATATCTCTGTAGAAGCGCCTTCGAAAAAGATTTCCAAGAAATCCTTTTTTGCCGAATTTCGACTAGCGGATAAAAAGTTATTGGCAAAAAACGGATTTCTCTTCTCTCTCCTCTCTGCCCCCATGGCCATCTGCAGTACCACGTGGCAGCTTGCTGGAGACCTTGAAGACCCCCTGATCAGGGGCTGCTTGACAGGGGTGAGGGTTTGCTCACACAACACACCCTGGATTTGCAGTGCTGCTGGTAGGGGTTGATCAAGATCTCATCCTCCCCTCCCTCCTCCACTTGGCTTGCTGCAATGCAGGCAGATCTGGGTGGCTGATCAAGATCTCAGCCCCCTCTCTCCTCCAACTGGCTTGCTACAGCGAAGGCCAAGACCCTCCTGGTCTTGGTACACCTTGTGCCCTTGAAGACACCAAGGGTCAGGTATCACTTCTCCCCTCTCCCTACTAACCCACTTCTCTCTCTCTCTCTCTCTCTCTCTCCCTCTCTCCTCTAACTCATACCCCTCTCCCCACCCCACCTTTTCTCCCACCAACCATTCGTTTACTTTTTTTTCTTCATTCTCCTTCTTTTCTCTTTGCTTCTTTATCCCTGTCCACCTTTCCCCATCCCTCCTCTACCCCAACTACCACCACACCATCCCCCTACCTCCCACTTTATCTTTTTCTCTCTCCCACCGATTTCTTAATTTTCTCCTTCACTTTTTCATTCCCCTTCCCCCCTACTTCGAAATTTTTCTGTTTTTCTTCTTTCTATCTCTCTTTTGATTTATCTTTTTTTTTTTTTTTCCAAAAATTCAGATTATCTTTTTCCCCAGCTTTTTTTCTCATTTTCTAATTTATTTTATTTATGTTTTTATTTATTCTGAAAATTCGATTTTCTTTACTACAACCCTAAATCTGATTAGGTGTTAGTCTTTTTCGCTTTCGGCACACGTTTTGACCCCGTGGGGGTAACGAAGTGCTACCGAAATTTTCTGATTTTCTCTTACTTAGTCTTTTTCGGCAGACTTCGACCTCATGGGGGTAACGAAATGTTGCCAAATTTTTTGAAAAATCAGATACTTCATTTCTCTTTACCTCCTCATCTACTTATTTACTTATTTATTTATTTATCTATTTATTTATTATTCCTTTATTTATTTTCTGAAATTTTTTATTTGCCGCAGTTTGAAACCTAGTGTACTTACCTTGGTCTCTCCTTTCCGCAATTTTTGATTTGCGGCAGTTTGAAACCTACTCTCGTACTGCAGACGGATTGGTGAAACAAGTGATAGGGATTCCAATGGGCAAATGCTCAAGTCCCGCATTGGCTTGCCTACTGTATTCATTTAATGAATTTTGCTTCATTAGGACTCTGGGTTCCGATGCTAGATATCTGACAGGAGTTCGACTGGTAGATGACGTTAGTATCTTTATTCTAACTCCAAGTAAGGAAGACATGATGTTGGAAAAAGTAGCAAATCTGATAGTGATGTTCAGTAAAGCCTACAATAAAAATCTTATATTAGTGCGAACGGACGACAGAAGAGACTCTTGGGAATTTTTAGGCTGTAGGATTTTTGCGAGATGTGTCCCGCCAATGGTAAAATGTTTTGCAGTCATGAAGAATCAGGCAGCAGTCTGGACAGATGATCCGTTAAAATTTAAAACGACTCAAGATTATTGGTCTCACGGGCCGGTACAGCAAAAGAAGGGAGCACTTTAATGCCATCTCAATCGGATCCGGGCCCACTCCTCAGACAATAGAGGAGTGGGCCCTACGCTGTTGGCTTTGAGAAGGGAACTTAGGCTGAAAAGTTTCCCCCTACACTTCTTTCAAAAAGGACTGCAGGAAGTTTCAAAAAAGTATGCGGACTGTTGGGAGGGCTGGGTACATTTTTTCGATGAAGGCTTGGCCCCGCTTTCTATTGGATCCACGAGAGGGACGGGCCGATGGGCGCAAGGGAAACGACAACAGAACTACCGACAATAAAGAGCGACGCAGATATCTTCCGTTTCCAGCAGGTAACGCTCCTCAGATTCTTCGACATTTCAAACAGGGTCACAGATATCTCCCTGACACTATCCGCTACAACGAGATCGGAGGCAAAGACAGATACGAGGCCGATAATCTTGGAATCTTCTACAACACATCATCGACACTTGACAAAACGCAGTTTTCGACGCCCCCTTCCCTCTTTCTTTTCTCTGTCTCTGTCTCTCTCTCTCTCTCTCTTTTTTCCTCGACAGTCATCTGCACTTAGATCCTCCCGCTTCTTCTCTATCTTACATTCACCTCACCAGGCCTTCCGGCCATCTGTGATACTCTGCTCCTGCCAAATATCAGTCTCATTTTCCCGCTTTTTTTATGAATTTATTTTCCTCGACAGTCTCATTGTCCCGCCTTTCTCTCTCTCTCTCTCTCTCTCTCTCTCTCTCTCTATCTATCTATCTATCTATCTATCTATCTATCTATCTATCTATCTATCTATCTCTATCTCTCTCTTGCTCTCTCTCTCTCTCTCTCTCACCGGGGTGAAAAATGTGAGCGAATAAGGGAACGACGTTCTGACGGGGTTTTTTTAGTAATTGCTGCGTGTTCATTCGTGAACGTGTTCACTGGTTCGTGGTTAACCGGTCTTGCCCGGTCACGATCCTACCACCTCACCGTCGGGAGCTTGTTAACCAGCGTGTTGTTCACGCTCTCGTGGATCTACATATCGTCGACCTTCGTCTCAACCACGAGCGCGCCGGAGCTGTAAGGTGTTGAAGGCTGCGGAGGTTCCAATCGCCTCAACCTTAATGCATGCTGAAGCTGAAGGCTGCTGAAAGTTTTTGGGATTTTGTTTGTCGCAATCGTATCGCCTACATAGTACTTCTGTCTATGTACACGTGTTTTCCTTTTTCGGGTGATTAGCTGGTGGAAGCACACAGGAAGATAGGAGATATGGAAGACAACTTTGTGTCGTATGGGCTGTGTTATCACTGTGGATAACATGGCCATTTCATACGCAACTGCCCACTTTTAGTCAGAAACGAAGGGTTGATTTCGGGGAGACCGGTCGGAGGTCGGGCGTATAATTATGCTAATAATTATAATCAGCACGGTCGCAATCACGTCCCACCTCCAGCGTCTATACCTCCCCCTCCCCCTCCACCACCATCTGCTCTACCTCCTCCCCCTCCCCCTCTTCTTCCTCCACCCCTTCCCCCTCTCCAACCTCCCACGATCACTCCAATGGTTCCAGCGGCCATGACGCAAATGACTCCAGCAGCGTCAACGGCGTTAGTACCGTATCTGCAACGATAGTCTGGATGGGGTTATAGGGGAAGAGACGAAGAATTGATGGCGCTGGTACGAGAAATCGCATATGGACACAAGACGGAACAGCAACGAAGAAGGGATGAGGACGACAGAAGGCAGAGAGAAGAACAGGAACGCAAGGCGAAGGAAGAAGAAATGAAGAAAAAGGAAGAGGAAGATACTAAGGAAGCCCTGAAGGAAGCAAGGCTGGCGCATATCATTGATGAGAGGATAGCATCATTGGACAAGAGGTACGACACACGTTTGGACGAGGAAAAGGCCAAGATTCTGGAGAAAGTGGAGAAGAACATCGAAGGGATGAATGGAAAGCCAAAGGAGAAGGAAACAGAGAAGGGAAAAGGAGTCGAGAAGGGAAAAGATGTAGGGACGTTGAGGACTAATGACACAAGAAGTCTGAAGATCCACGATCAAGAAAAGAGTAGAAAGAGAGGCCAGGAAGAAGTTGGAGGCAACTCACCGCAACCACTGACTCCAGGAAGATCTAAACCAAACGGCAACGGATCTTTGGAAGCAGGTCTCAGGATGATTAAGCTCAATACGCTGCTACGACAGCAGAAGACGTCAAATAAGGTACTGTTGTCTGTCCTTGAAGAAATGAAGGCGATGAGATCAATGCAACTGCAACAGATGGCAGCTCAGCCCACGCAGCCGCATCAACATCCTGTGAATCCCAGACCCTGCGACGCTCCAACCACTCACGCGCACGATGGCCGGCCTAGTTCAAGTAGGCGCTTCCCTTCACCACCTCGACGATCTCCTCCACGCGACCCTAGGAGGACCGCTCCTTCCCCACCTCCATCCCCACCTCCTTTTACCACCCCTGCGCCGCCCCAACGTGCCAATCCTCCTGCTTCTGTAGGTAGAACTGGAAGAGCTGCGGGACGAGATCCAACACCACATCGTCCTAGCACAGGGAGTGCAGCACAGAGAGAAGCCGCCGGACCATCGACCCCGGTGGAAGGAACCAGCGGAAGAACTTCGGCTAGACTTGTGGATGTCTTCGCTTCAGTGGATGGGAACGCCGCCCGCCGAGTATCAGGATCCTTCTCTGCCATTGGAGCTTCTACTGGATTGGGATTTGACCGCGTCCAAGATGGGACAAAAGCAGTCATGGCAGGACCAGGACCAGAAGGAAGAAAGAAGTACGTAGAGGAGATGACGAAGGTCCTTGTCAACAAATACAAGAACGATTTGGTAAAAATGTGTGAAGATGAAAAAATCAAATATCATTACAAAAAACAGGCGGCTGCAGATCTTGCTGAGATCAAGGCAAGAGCTGCATATGATGAGGAGGTGGAAGAAGAGCACGTGAACGAACCAGCGGAGGTGACTCAAGAAGAGAATCCTTCTTGAGTCCCATCACGATCCATCTTGGCTATGGAGAAAAGTGGATTTTCTGAGAAGGAAGAGAGGAATAAGGGAGAAAAACAAGGATAGAGAGTGAAAATGGAAAGCCTAATGAGGTTTTATGTCCTCCTCTTAGTGATAGCTGCCCAAATCGAATGGGGGAATAAATTCTTAGATCAGTGGATACACACGGCACAGCTTGGACATGACATCTGTGAAGGAGGTGAAGGATGCGTGTATGTCCTAATTTCTCCATGGTTTCGTGCATGCTACATTAGGTCAACAGTCAGGCATGTTTTTGAGAGATGGAATGAACATGTAGCTTCCGGTTCCCCGGGGAACAAAGTCCGTAATCATAAACTTGGTCGTTGGTTGAAGAAAAAGGGTCGGGAATCCTACGTGTCTATTCCCCTTATTTTTCCTGATACCGAAGATTTGAGATATGTAGAATCGAAGTTTATTCAGAGATGGTCACCCATACCGAACAGCCAGAAAACGGAAAACAAGGTAAGACGAAGAAAGGGAAGAAGAGAACGACGACCATATCAACAACAAAAAAATGGACGAATCAAAGCATGTGATGATAACGGAGGTCGCCTAGTTCACTGGGAGGTGTTTTCAAATAGTGCTCTCGTTGATAACCAGGGAAAACGGACTTTGCGCCTGTCAGAAACGCTAACACGGTTGGTACAGACTGAAGTTCGAATCGCAATAGTCTCGACAACGGGTGGGTCTATTTTTTTAGAAGGATGAGGCAGATTATCCAAGATGCATGGATGGTCTATAGTCGAAGTCAATGGGACAAAAAGACTGTTTAAAAATTTTTAAAAAAAATTATGGAGGGAGGAACTTTCACTATCTCACTAATTAGAGTGCGATACTCGGTCACTAAGCAGAGGAGAGTCGTTTTGTTTTCACTACTAACGCCACCATCGACCCGTCCTCTGCTTTATTCTTTTGAAATTTTGGCCATTATCAAGTTATATAACAGTATTGACGAAAGCATGAAAGGGCGTACTAATGCAGTCCTCAAAGGGATTGTGGGAAGGGTCCTGGTGAAAAAATGTCACTTTCAATGCTTACGCTTGGTAGTTATTAAGGTTGTTTTCTCAGACTACATAGAAAAAAGGGCAGTTGTTGATCTGGTTAAGAAACTGATTCGGAATAGATGTGAAGACAAATATGTGGCTGATTTGGTGATCTCGCGCATGCGGTTCGTCTGGAAGAGTTGCAAATCAATTGACGACCTGTTACACAATCATAGAAAATTGGCAAAGACCGCAGTTGACGAATGCACATGCAGCAACATGGATCCAGTTTTTCCGAGAAACAGTGACGGACACGTAGCAGGTCGATTATCTGAACTACGGGATTTTTCGAAGTTCCTTCTAAACTCCCGTAACATAATTAGGAAACCTGATTGCGGCCGTTATAGGCCAACTTAAGCATGCTATTAACTCTAGTCTCGACTTCATCCCTGGAAATGCTCTTGCTTCTTACCGTGAGGCTAGCTCCTGTGTTAAATATAACGGTGGGAATGACAAAGAGAACATGTACTCTGAGCTCATCAAATGGCAAGGGAAATTGAAAGGACTAGTGATATCCCCGATAGATCATAATATAGGGGATTCGTTTGTCTGCTGCCAAAAAGTATATTGGTAGGCTTTAGCAGGGTTGTATTGGGAAAACCAAGGGTTTTTGAAGACCGCTTCAAGTGAGACAGAAATAATCCGACAATGTAAGGAAGGGTTTGACAAGTGCAGGGGTGCTGCCCTGGCTCCGTGGAATAAGAACGGCAAGCTGGGATGCTGCTACGGCATTCCGAAACACAAGAATACCAGTCGATGGCAACCTATTTCTCCTTCTTATTCTGACCCAAGCGTGAAGGCCTGACGAGTAGTATCAAAGGCAATCAACATTTTACTATGGAATTTGCCAGAGGAATTGCACTTCAACCTGAAGTCGACATCTTTACTGAAGGAAAAGATCCAGAAGGTAGACAAGAAGGCTATGACCAGTAAAAGAGGTTGCCTCATGTATGCCAGCTTCGATATCAAGGAAATGTTAACTAGGCTTCGTCATGAAGCCATTCTTGAAGTCGTGGAATGGGTTTGTGGTTTTTTTATGGAAAAAGAAAGGGATGCAGTATGAGTAAACAGACGAGGGAAAGAAGCCACGTTCGCAAAGAGTTTTGGAGAAGTTGGGTGGGTAACTATCAATTTTTTTCAACTAATCTCCTTTGTCCACTTTGATCTCGAACACTCCTACTCTCGGACTGTAGACGGATTGGTGAAACAAGTGATAGGGATTCCAATGGGCAAATGCTCCAGTCCCGCATTGGCTTGCCTACTGTGTTCATTTAATGAATTTTGCTTCATTAGGACCCTGGGTTCCGATGCTAGATATGTGAGAGGAGTTCGGCTGGTAGATGACATTAGTATCTTTATTCTTACTCCAAGTAAGGAAGACATAATGTTGGAAAAAATAGCAAATATGATGTTCAGTAAAGCCTACAATAAAAATCTTACATTAGTGCGAACGGACGACGGAAGAGACTCCTGGGAATTTTTAGGCTGTAGGATTTTTTGCGAGATGTGTCCCGCCAATGGTAAAATGTTTTGCACTCATGAAGAATCAGGCAGCAGTCTGGACAGATGATCCGTTAAAATTTAAAACGACTCAAGACTATTGGTCTTACGGGCCGGTACAGCAAAAGAAGGGAGCACTTAGATGCCATCTCAATCGGATCCGGGCCCACTCATCAGACAATAGACGAGTGGGCCCTACGCTGTTGGCTTTGAGAAGGGAACTTAGGCTGAAAAGTTTCCCGCTACATTTCTTTCAAAAAGGACTGCAGGAAGTTTCAAAAAAGTATGCGGACTGTTGGGAGGGCTGGGTACATTTTTTCGATGAAGGCTTGGCCCCGCTTTC